TTTTTAAAAATAATGTAGTTCCATATCTCAATTCTTTAGCTATCAATCACCATAATGGTTGCATTTTCTTCTAGTGGCCTTCATAAGTCATAATTACTCTAGACTTAACATATCAAAATCTTAAAACCTAAGTCAAAATTATGCAAAACCGTCTCCCAAAGAAATAATCGACCCAACTCAAGTTATTTTCATTTTTGAGGAATCATTTTTGGTAACACTCGCTCGCCTTCCTCTCTCAAGCTTGGGCTTTCTTCCATTTTCCTTTCCTGCCTACAGTTCTCTCCTTCCACTATTTCATTCCCTTCATTATGGTTATTTACCTATATCGATCTGCATGCCTCAACTCACACCTAATTTTCTTTATCATTTTATTGAAATCCATTAACTAAAATAAGTAACTCTTACATTCCATTCCTAGCAAGAACATTTGACAACATAAATTGAAACATGCCACCTTTATTTAGTTGGGGGGCAAAAAACTGTTTTATTTCATCTCTTACTAAAAAATTATTTCTATTTAGTTTCTATATATACATAGATAACTATATGCACATACAATATATATATATATTTGTGTGAGTTTGGATTCATTTATTACACAATATATATATTTGTGTGAGTTTGGATTCATTTATTATTATTTATTTATTTAAAACAATAATATAAGTGTGAACTCTCCAATACATTTCTTACCTCTCGCATGTTGCAAATTTGCATGCCATACTCATGTGGCAATTTGAGTGATGGTCGAGGTTGAAGGAGGGTTTTTTGAACTGTTCAGGCATTGCCAACACATCATAATAATTTATTTTATGAAATGGATGACAATTAAGTGCTTCTTATTTGCAAATAATAAGTCCTAAGTCAATTTTTCATGAAACTACATCAATCTTTTGTCGATGTCATAACATTCGACTTTGTCAACTTCAAATCAAATGTGGAGGTCAACGTCCACTTCATTAGGGCACTAAATTTACTTGTGAACTTTATTTTACTCAAAGGTTTGTGGGTTTCAAAATTACCATTTTCTTATTATTTATTAAAATAAGCCTTAAACTTGTAAAAATGATTAACATCTAAATTATAAAGCCAAGTTCTAACCAAAATAAGATGAGGAACATCAATTGCAGTGGAACACACCAAATTCTTTCAGTATAAGTAGATAACTAAATCAAATCTTAACACCTCTAATGCATAAAGATAGCATTTTTATCCTCCTACAATACTTTATATGATGATGATATGGTTTGGGTATCAAATTTATAAATTCTAGAGAAAACTAGGATATTATATTCATAAAACTCACAATATCTATTATGAGTTTGCAATACTTCTCATACTTTAAATAAGTTTGGAAAAATGTTGTTCTCTTTTAGGAATTGTCAACTAAAGCACATTCAAGTTCACTAATTCCTCCTGATAGATTCATTGTTATAATGATTAAATAGATAACACTTAAATTTTGAATTTAGAAAAATTATAGACGAAGATGGGGTTGTGTTTCCTTTAGTGTCCTTACTCTACATAATGGGAGCGGGAGAGTTCAATTCAAAGTGGGAGAGTTCAATTCAGAGTCCTAATTTTAACTGTTATAGGAGATATTAACTTGTTGATTTTAGACTTCATGTTTATATTTACTTGTTTATCTTAAACTTCTTGTACATTATTGAGTTCTTATATAGTTTTTATGACGTTACTTTCATATTTTTGGATTACTCTAAAATTCTTTATTGTAAAAAAATTAAGCTCTCTTTTTTTATGGAATTACTTATTATTATTTTCTGAGATATCACTCTCAAATACTTTATTTTTAACTTTTTTTGTTAACTTAATGGTTTAATTTTGAAGCTTATGACTCGAGCCTTATATCTCATCTCAAAAAAAAAAAAAAAAAAAAAAAAAAAAAAAAAAAACTAGCATGATGTATTATCCAACAGAAATAGGCTCAAAGCCTCAGTCAAGAGGAAAACCGCAAGGAAACAGGGCACCAAAGAGGGGAAAGAGAGGGGTACCTCAAGGACGCCAAAGTAAAGCCTTGCAACACAAGAAGCTACCTCAAAGATGTGCTCTCACAAGAATCTCCTTTCCAATCTCCTCTAGCTAAATTTTTCAACAAC